TCGTCCTTACAGAACTTGAAAAACGTTTTGCTAAAAACGAAAAGGCGGAAATAAGCACTCTCTTGAGTAGTATTGTTTCCCAAAAGTATAAAGGAACAGGGAACATAAGGGAGTACATTATGGAAATGTCTCATATTGCTTCAAAATTAAAGGCACTAAATTTAGAGCTGTCTGATGACTTGCTCGTGCATTTGGTTTTGATATCTCTTCCTAAACAGTTCAGTCAGTTTAAGGTTAGTTATAACTGTCAAAAGGAGAAATGGACTCTAAATGAGCTCATTTCTCATTGTGTTCAAGAGGAAGAGAGATTGAAGCAAGAAAAGACAGAAAGTGCTTACTTGGCATCTTCCTCTAAGGATGGAAAGAAAAGGAAGAAGGGTAAGGATGCGGTTTCGCAACCACAAAAGAAGCAACATAAGGAAGAGAAGGCTGAAACAAAAGCATCTAGATGCTTCTTCTGTGGTGGGATGACTCACAAGAAGAAACAATGCACTAAGTACCACGCATGGCGTGCGAAAAAGGGTATGTTTCTTTCTTTTGTCTGTTATCAAGTTAATTTAATTTCGGTACCTAAACACACTTGGTGGCTAGATTCTGGTGCTACTACTCACATAAGTTTGTCCATGCAGGGTTGCCTGAATTGCCGAAAACCGAGTGATGGTGAAAGATACATTTATGTAGGTGATGGCAAGGCAATTGAAGTTGAAGCTATAGGCACTTTTAGGTTGTCATTAAAGGTTGGATATTATTTGGATTTAAAAGAGACTTTTGTTGTACCGTCTTTTAGGCGAAATTTAATTTCTGTTTCTACATTGGACAAATCTAGTTATTTTTGTTCTTTTGGAAACAATAAAGTTAGTCTTTTTTATAATTCAAAGTTAGTGGGATCTGGTTCTTTATCAGGATTTGACAACCTATATTTGTTGGATACTATTGCTTCATCTAATGAAAGTTTGCATGTCAGTTCTAGTGGTACCAAAAGAAAATTAGCAAATGAGAATTCTTCATCACTTTGGCACAAACGTTTAGGACATATTTCTAAACAAAGAATTCAAAGACTTGTGTCAGATGGAATTCTTGATTCCCTTGATTTTTCAGATTTTGATGTATGTATTAATTGTATCAAAGGGAAACAAACAGATAAAAGGAAATTAGGAGCCAAAAAAGCTTTAGATGTCTTAGAACTAATACATACAGACATTTGTGGACCATTTCCTACAACTTCTTAGAATGGTCAACAATATTTTATTACGTTCATAGACGATTATTCTCGTTATGGCTACCTATATTTGATTCATGAGAAATCCCAAGAATTGGATGTGTTCAAATCTTATAAAGCTGAAGTTGAAAATCAACTTAGGAAAATAATTAAGAAAGTCATATCTGACTATTGTGGTGAATACTATGGCAGAAATGACGGATCTGGTGAACAACCTCCAGGGCCATTTGCTAAATTCCTAGAGGAATGTGGAATTGTCCCTCAATACACCATGTCAGGATCACCTCAAATGAATGGTGTAGCTAAGAGGCGCAATAAAACATTACAGGAGATGGTAAGGAGTATGGTTAGTCACTCTACCTTACCAGAATCCCTATGGGGAGAGGCAATTAAGACCACAACTTATATTCTCAATAGAGTACCAACTAAGGCAGCTTCTAGAACTGTCAGTTGTTACTTTGTTGGGTACCCTGAAAGGTCTAAGGGGTATAAATTTTATGATACCACAACTAGATCAATTTTTGAGACGGGAAATGCTAGATTTTTTGAAGATGTTGAGTTTGGAGGGGAAGATAAGGTTAAAGAGTTTATTTTCGAAGAGGAACAAGTTTCTCTTCCTTCATTTGTTATCAATCATGATCAGACATTAATTCCTGGCATGATTGAAGGTACAACTCAAGAAACTCAAAATAATTCCCCTATTCATAATCAACAGGAAATTCATGATGAACAAACTCAACAACTTTAAGAGCCAATGCCATTTAAGGTGATACACTAGAGAAAGAAGAAGTGCAATTTCAGATGACTACATTGTTTTTCTCCAAGAACAGGAGGATAACAATGAAATCAGCGAAGAATTTGTTGCACTACTTTAAGAACAAGAGTTGGATAATGAAATGGTGGATGATGATCCAATCACCGTTCGCCAAGACATTGAAGGCCCTAACTCTCAAGAGTGGATTGATGCCATGAATGAGGAAATTAAGTCAATGATGGACAATGACGTTTGGGACCTTGTTTCATTGCCAGAAGGTGTGAAACCAATTGGTTGTAAATGGATTTTAAAGACCAAAAGGGACTCAAATGGCAATGTGATAAGGCGTAAGACTCGTCTTGTCGCTAAGGGCTATACTCAAAAGGAAGGCATTGATTATAAGGAGACTTATTCACCAGTTTCTTCTAAAGACTCCTTCAGGATTATGATGGCACTTGTAGCATATTATGATCTTGAGTTACATCAGATGGATGTTAAGACAGCATTTATCAATGGTGACATTGAGGAAACCATCTATATGCAGCAACCAGAAAACTTTGTTTCGGGAGATTCAAAGAAATCCATCTATGGACTCAAACAAGCTTCTCGTCAATGGTACTTTAAGTTTCATCAAGTTGTTATGTCTCATGGTTTTGAGACAAATGCAGTTGATGATTGTGTGTACCATAAGTTTAGTGGGAGTAAGCATGTTTTCCTTGTTTTATATGTTGATGACTGTAGACAACTAAAAATGTCTCCTCAAAACCAAACCCGATGATGAACAACCTTTCACCGCCATTATTGGTCGGGTCGAGTATTTAATTTTTGGAGTGCTTAAATCCATATTTTCATTTCACAAACCAACCCAATTCCTAGCCCATTTCCAAAAAATAACTTATTTTCCTCTTTTCGTGCCTTTAAACCTATAATAATTCATTTCGTGTCCTTTAAAATCATTCATTTCGTGTCCTTTTTATAAAAACGTTTAATCCAGTTTATTTTGGTCCATAATCTTGGTCGAATGATTAAACAGTTGGATGGGGCTTGAAAAGAGCTTTCCAACGATATATATAAGCCCAAATCCGAGTTATAACGAATAAGTTATGGCCAAAATATTAAACCGAACCCAAGTCCACCTTACCTACGACCCAATGATCATGTGGAGGGTCCAAATGATTTAATCCCAATCCTAAACCAATTAGGATTAATTAGAAGCTTCTATAAGTTTCTAAAAGATCTTAATTATCCTTTTTTTTAAAAAAGATAAGATTAAAGAGTTTGAAATTGAATAAAACTCCTTTTTTTTGAAAGTCCTATTTCTATCCGAATTGAAAGACGTTCAAAGATAGACAGATATTATTTTCTTGCCTCATATTTTTTATCCAAATTTTATATGGTTGGATAGCCCTTGAAATTATCTTTCCAATGATATGAATAAAATGTCAAACTCAATCCAAAACTGATACTATCTCACTATTTCAGCCATATCTTTTACTTTATAAAATATTTTAATTTGATTCTAATTGGATTAGAAAGTAGACTTCAAGAGCTTTCCAAGATCAAAAAATATGATAAAAACAAAAACCGCAAAAACTGCTGTCTATCGAGTTTTATTCCGATTTAATTCGGATCTTATCTTGTTTTTTTCGACCTCTCTTTTTTCTCTATAAATAGAGGTCATATCACCCCTTTTCCAATCATCAAAAAGCTTGATCATAAAATAATTCTCTTCTCCCTCTTTAGCCTAAACACTAGCCTCCCCGTTCTTTCACTATTTCTTCCTTTAAGCACTCCAAAGAGTCCATACAATACCTGAAGTTCTATACTTAAACCAAGGCGTGAAAGTTATTATTAAGTGAGGGTTTGGACCAAATCAACTCTATATTTATTTAATTTAATTTTTATTTGCTTTATTTTTTTTTATTGAAGTTACTAACAGTTTATTCATGATGTAGTAATTTAAAGGAACGCGCAGAATGTGAGTAATTAATTAATTTAATTACTCTTATTTTATTTTTATATTGCTAGTATCATGATTAGTTTATTTATATTTTATTTGACTAAAAATTTATTTTTAAATTGCTTCTAATATTAATGTTAATTCTATTATTATTTATTGATCACCATATTGCATGTTAAAGGGAATATGTAATTGCAAATCACGCCTAATAAGATAATTTGGACGACCTGTTTAGGTTCCTTTTTCATCTTGTTGTTAAATCAAGTGATCACAAATATTTTAGAATTATATGTTGCATTAATATTTAACCAATTTAGCATAATAATAGTTTGGAGCAAATTGAATATTTTGTTTGTATGCCTTTGAGATCGCAGGAATCACTTTTCACACTAGTGGAAAAATCCTCATCCGTAACGGGCAAAAAGGGGCCATCCGTAACAGGCAGCGTCCGTTACGTATGCGGCCGTTACGGATGACCATTGTTATTCGTAACGGGCACTGTCCGTTACGAATAATGAGTTATTCGTAACGAACATTTCAAATGTTCGTTACGAATAACTCATTATTCGTAACTGACATTTAAGATGTCCGTTACGAATAACCCATTATTCGTAACTGACATTTTAGATGTCCGTTACGAATAACCCATTATTTGTAACGGACATTTTAAATGTTGGTTACGAATAAGGGGTTATTCGTAACGGACATCTGAAATGTCAGTTACGAATAAATTTTTTTGTATTAAAATAGGTCCTTATTCGTAACGGGCACATAAAACGCCCGTTACGAATAAGTGATTATTCGTAACTGACATCTTAAATGTCCGTTACGAATAGAGTTTTATGGTATATAATTTAACACTTATTTGTAACGGGCAACAAAAGTGCTCGTTACGAATAACTGGTTATTTGTAACTGACAATTTTGATGCCCGTTACAAATAATTATTAAATTAAATTTTCATTTTATTTAATTTCGACAGCATGTATTTATATATAATTAATATATATTAATTAAAACCTGTAATAATATACATGTTCCTGTAAAAAGCAATTATACCGAACAATCTTTCGTAAAAATTAATACGATGTAATATAAAAACTGAAGTAGTAACACATTACAAATAAAAACTTGTATAAATTTATCCAACATATACAACAACACTAAAAATATTACGTTGTTCTATCTAAGCTAATAGTTAAGCATTCAATAAATATTTACTTCTAAAGTGGATAAATCTTGAATCTATTCATCTTTCAGATTCAGCTTCCTCACCATGCTTCTGACTGCCTAGCCTAACAATGTCTTCAACAAGTATCTTCCCCTCTGACAAAACAATCACACAGAATCAGTAAAGCAAAAGAACTGGGTCAGACCAACTTAAAGATGTCTTCTAGTACAATAAATGTTAGTGCCAAATTAATAGAGATCTAAGAGCACTCATACATGACAACTAATAACACTTTCATGCTAGGAAAGAAAATCGATCCCTACTCCTAGCTTATACGAAGTATATGTTAAAAATATCACACTTCATTCTAAATAATAGGGGCTGCAATTGATTTTAGGCTATTTAAAAACTTAGAAGTAAATATACTACAGCTAGCCTTCATTATAAAAAAATTCAAAATATACAACATAATAATATAGAAGAACGGTATAGGATAATTTAGGTAGGTTTAAAAATTACACTCTCATTTTAGAAAGTGATATACTACGTACTATTCAGATAGTTTGAAACAGATATGTAGTTTAGAACTTTAGATTTAGAGACGGAGGGAGTGTATTAAACGAACCTCTGTCTTTTGACAGCTTGCTGATGAGCTCTTGGATACCATCTTTGTCAATTTTGTTTTTCAGATATGCAGCAGCAGAAGCTACTTCTTCTGGAGTCACCTTCCCATCGTAATCCCTAGATGTCAAGAAACAGGTCTAATATCAGCATTGTCTCTATTATGCAGCAGTTAAACTAAAGATCATATAATACAAGAGCAAGATTACACATAAAGAAAATATAAAGAAATATAATAGTCCGTGAAAGAGAGTCAAACATGTGAAACAACACTACGGCCTTATTATATCAGTGCCTTAACTAGTTCCACCTCACTAATGCAGAAGAATTTCAGACTCAATATTCTCAAGACCTCAACTACAATCATACAAATAAAATACCCAAAAAAATTAAGGCTGGAATTTGCCTAGCTTAGAATAACAGCATATCACAAGTACATTACTAAGTCCAATTATTTAACAATGTATACAAAATTACACAAGGGATTTGCAATTAAGCCCTTGGTTTCTAGCCAGGGGAGAGGGGGCCAGTAGGTGGGAAATCTCAATATAGATCAAGTCCATAATTTAGATAATTTCATCATTGGCTAGCTCAATCATTCAACAATGTTTACACAAGAGATTTGTAGTTAATAATGCCCTTGGTTTCTATTACCAGGAGGGGGCCAGGAGGTGGGAATTCTCTATATAGCAAGTCCATGATTTAGGGGTCGTTATTATTGCCAGATATCATAACATCAAGAGTAAAACACGGATGAATGTCAGCCACATGTCAAAACAATTCGTATTGTTCTAGCTTGAGAGCCACAATCCATATAAAAACATAGTTATATACTCCAAGATCTCCATAGGCTAATAAAAATCTAACTAAAACCTGCCAGATAATAATCTCAATAGCATACCTATCAAGCAATCGCCATTCACCACCAATCTTCTCATCCACATCATCAATTTCTTTTTCAAGTTTTTGAAGAATAGCATCCACCTGATACAGCAAAATAAAAGAATCCCAGTAATTCAATAGGTACAGGAAATAAACAGAATTACAGATGCATCAGCCAATGGAATAATATCATCTAGTTTAAGAGAATCTGGATCAGAAAAATAAAAACTCGTGCAGACCTTGTTTATCAGTGTTGAAGAAACTTGAGCAGTATCTAACTCTTCTTCATCACCCTCCCGGGCAGCTTTGTATGCCTCCTTAGCTTCAGCTTCCCCCTCTTTTCCCTCCTTGTCCACCATAGTATTGTATAACTCTATCTGGAAAAGAGAATTAGAGACATAAATCCTGCGTCCTAAAGTGGTGGAAAAGTTAGTTTGAAGAAACTAGTTCCAACTGTTCACTTACCTCCTTATTCACAAGTCTCAAGAATTCCTCCCGTTCCCTGCTCACTAACTAACGAAAGTAAAATATAGCAAAAATTAGTAACATACAACAATACAACGCTTCGTTGTAATACATCTAGCACCAAAATATTCTTACTGATGCGGAAGCCAGAACAGCCAATGCACGACTGAGCTCACAAAGCTGATCGTCTTTATCTGACAATGCAGCCTTTTCGTAATCTTGTGCTTGCCTGTCAGTTGCAGCCACCATCTCTTCCAAGGCAACATCCTTTTCACTAACAGTAGACTCCTTAAGTTTCGCCTTTTCTTCTTCTGCTTTCATTTTCTCCTCCTCTTCCTACAATTTGGTAAGTTAGAACATAAGTTTATTGAAGTCTGAAACCCAATACTTGAATAAACTTTAATATATTTATCCTCAGACAAGTGAAGCAGGTTTTAGCCTAAAGGAGAGAGCATAGGGAATGCTTTACATGGTGTTCAGAAGGTTAGAAAGAGGAATGAGCAGCCAGTAAAATTTAGCATTTTAAAACCTAATACGTTCGGAGTAAAAGGGACTAAAACCTTGATCATTTCTTCCTGCATTTCAAGGAACTCTAACTTTCTCCTCCTTTCTGAAACTGCATCCTCAGAAGGCAAAGATGTTGCTCCAATGGTATCAACAACCTCATCTGGCAAAGAGGAAATAGCAAACTCCACGGCTTCCTCAGGCTTGATTGTTCCAGACACATTGAAGGCTCTGCCAAAAGAAGTGTATATCAGCGCACAAAGTTGGGAACTAGCGCTAATAAGCTTTATTTTAATATATAATAAACAAACATCAAGTGATGAAATTCCTTATAAACCAGAAGAATTTCCAAGAAAAACACTGCCTACCTGGAAAGAATAAGAAGAGATGACGGAACAGAGTGATTGAGAGATAAGTCCAACCAATCACGCAGCTGCACATACATGAAAACTTGAATGAATGAACATTGACCAGAATCAGGTACTATAGATAGCCGAGAACCACCATGGTAATATTAGTTGACAAGCACAAATTATTCTAAATCATAAGATTAGCATTTTGTAAGGGTTCAAAATTACATCATTTCACTCAGGAAGGCACAAATCTACTGCAACCATAAATAATGGTTAGATTAAAACAAAGATAAACACAAGTAGTGCATCATCCACTTAAAAGTCAAAAATAAATTTGGTAGAGCACTGTGAGCAAACCTGTTGACGCATCTCTTCAACAGAAAGCAAACCAAGTAAACCTCTATCTCTACATGCTTGACGAAGCTCTGCCTCTAAAAGTGACTCAACACCCTCGGCTTGTATCATCTTATCATCCTCTTTAATCCTTCCAAAAGAAAATAGTTAGTGTCCACTATCATAGTGCAAAACTCAATAATGAAACACCAACATTAATTAATCATTTAAAATGGACAACGAATTTAAACATACACAACCAACTAAAAAATTCATGAAAGCATTTAGCCCAAGTTAGTCAAGTCCATGAATTCACTTAAATGAGACAAATTCAGAAAACAAAAATCTAAGAGCCAAATGAGTACATGTTATGAACTGGAAATTTCTGCAGAAATTCTGAAGAATTTTGATAGAAATTTGCATTAAAATCTAAAAATAAAGAGTAATACAAGCTTTCGAGATGCTTCTTCTCTCCCAAACTGTATAAAAAGAACAAAAAAAACTTTAAATAGTATTCTTTATAACAATCTCTCCCTATTCTTCTCTTATTCATAGCATTAATCCTCTAATTCACTCACTAACATATATATATATATATATATTGCATTATCTAATACGCTTTTCCAAAAATACTAATTCATAGCAGTACAAATCAGAAAATAGATTCGGAATCTGACACTAAGCAAGACATAAGCTAATGACAGCAGGGCACAAAAGGTTCAACCAACCAAAATATAAAAAAATAATAATAATAATTATTGTTGGAATTTTTAGGGAATTTCATGTTTTTTAAACAAAAGCACTTGAGGGCATCCCTCAATCTCTTATGTCCTCTATTTGTTCATTTCAATGTGGAAGTGAAAAGACTGAAAACATGGATAACCATAGGTTGACTACTTGAGCTACAAGCAAACTTAAATCTATACTAATTTTGCCAGTTGTATTGTACTAGTCAAATAAGCCAACCTTCCATATAAAACAATAAACATGCAATCTAGTGAATCTACATTACATTCCAATCTAAAATCAGTTGAATAAACAAAATAATTAGCAATTTTATAAAGAAAATCCCTCCTTAGATGCCAAATCTTTTGCAAGACATATTCAAAAAAATACCAGTACATTTCAACCTCACTTTAGACAATCCACCAAACAGTAAAAAATAATGCACGTAGAAGTTCCTAGTGCAGGGAGAAGTATTGCATTATTTTAACTAATGGTATTCCATTCAACTGATAATTGGTATTAAAAATGACTTAGTCAGCAATAAACTTGGAGCAGCTTCTATGAGGACTTTGTTAGAATGTACAATAAACATTAGGTTCAGAAAACTATAATTTAGAGCTAAAACAACTGAACACTTAACCTAGAAAACAAGCTAAATATACAATAGTTTTCAGCACACAGCTTATAAAAGGCCGACATGCCGAACGCACAAAAACATACGTAGTATCCAATATACTACATGCAAGTATCCCTTAAAGTTGAAGCGGAAAATAAAATCTGAGAAAGAAAATAAGATCATTAATCTGTGAAAGGCAATCATAGCGTATCCACACTAAAGTGAATCCACAAGTTGTGCTCATCTGCTCACAAATTCTTGCAGCCATTACAAGCAAGGGATAACAGTGAGGAAAATGTAATGAACTAACAATGAGAAATAGGAACAACAAGCAATCACGCTATACAATTGCAGAGAGAGACCAAGGCCGCAATTTAATTAGACCACAAAATATACAACTACCTCTTGATCAAAGCGAGAATCTTTTTGTGCCCAGTGGTAATCACATCCAAAGCTTATCATGCGCAGGGCAACTGCAAATAAACGGATTCACGATGTAAGGGGGGATCCAGAAAGATAGTAATAATTTGGGGAAAAAAATCAATCAATTAATTCATACTTAGCTCAAAATTCAAAGGCTTTTAAACTAAAACATAATAAAACCCAAAACAAATGGAAAATAATAAAATCAATCAATTAATTTGGGGAAAAATAAAATAAAACCTATAATTAAGTAATTGCAATTAAGCAAACTGAAACAAGGGTTACGAAATTGGGGGAGGATAGAGAAAGAGTACGCTTTAATGGAAAACTATGAGCGCTTCAATGGAGAACTCAGACAGCGCTTCAATGGAGAACTCATACAACGCTTCAATGGAGAACTCGGAGTGCGCTTCACTAATGGAGAACTCGGAGTGCGCTTCACTAATGGAGAACTCGGAGTGCGCTTCAATGGAGAACTCGGAGTGCGCTTCAATAATGGAGAACTCGGAGTGCGCTTCAATAATGGAGAACTCGGAGTGCGCTTCAATAATGGAGAACTCAAAGTGCGCTTCAATGGAGAAGAAGAGTGAGAATGAGAGGAGCAAAACGCACGGGAGCTGCTTCAATAGTGGAGAGAGAGAGGAATTTTTTTGACAGAGGGAGTGAGAAAGGGGAAAGTAAAAATTTAGGGCTTACTTTAAAACTTTATTCGTAACGGACACCCTATGTTAGTTACAAATAACAAGGTCAAAATCCTGTTGACTTTTCTATTTGTAACGGGCAATATTTGTTGGTTACGATTAGTTACTTAATCATAACGGGCAGATTAATGCCTGTTACAAATAACAACTTATTCGTAACGGGCACCAATATGTCCGTTACGAATAACAACTTTTTCGTAACGGGCACCAATTTGTCCGTTACGAATAACCCTTTTCCTGCCCATTTCACAAATTTTTTGTAACGGACATTGAATTTGCCCGTTACGAATGGCTTAATTGTAACGGAAAATCATATGTCCGTTACGAATAGCTTGTTACAAATAAGATTTTTTCCACTAGTGTCACTATAAGAATCGAGTAGAGACCAATACTGGCGAATGTGACTCCATGACTCACTTCGTACCATCATCCCCGATCCTCCTTTCGTGGTTCCGAACCATATGGAGTTAGTAATCTCACGATTATGAATGGGGTGTAACCTTCGCGGGCCAATCGTTGTCCCTTATCGTGGTTGCCTTTTTATGATCCGTGAACGGTTTACAAGTTCCTTAAAAACTTGTTGGCGGCTCCCTACTTTATTTGTCCCTAATCGTATTGTGTCAATTCCCACTTCCTATGAGTGCCAAGCATATTCACACATGCTTTAACGTAGACGCACTTCGAACGACGCCTACAATTTGGCGACTCCACTGGGGAGGATTCTTGGTTATTTATCGATTTGAGTGATCGGTATTTAATTAAGATGAGTGGATGAGACTTGAAAGATTCTTGAATTGTATTTCTGTGATTTAATTGGCATTGTCACATATGCATATGCATTTTAGGTCACCTATTTTGCCACAATAGTATGTGTTCTACGTATGTGGCTAGCCCGGGGGATTTAAGCTCTATCAACCCGAAAACGTTCATGACAATAAGGGTTCATCCGAGTTTTTAAATCCACCCAAACCATGGAGTCGAGTTCGATTTCATCACGAACTCGCGGAGCCGCCCGTTGGCATACACCCTCAAGGGAGGCTGCCTTGCTAACGCGTCCAAACTCTTAACCATGGTACCCTTTGACACCCAAAAGCTTGACCATAGTCGAACATAGAACTTGACTTTAGGTTGCGAACTTCATTGCATCATGCGTGACGATATGCTTATGTATGCATTTTTTTTATTGACCTTTTTTTTTTTTTTTTCTCTATCAAACCCTCCCTTTTTTTTATTATTAGAGTCGAGCCATAGATTTTTTTTTTAGTCACCCTGATTTTAATTCCCGTATACTGCACAAGAGTCAACTTGTTTTGGTCATATCAGGAGTTTTAGAAAGAGTTACATGTCGTGCAACCTATGGATCTGTAGCCCCGGGTTTTATCTTTCATTTGGCGTTAGTTTCGTCTCAATCAGAGTCACAGATAAAAATTTATAATCGATATACTACAGCCTGTCCAGTTTAGGTGTCTTTTTAGCGTTACCTTTTTTATTTTATTTTTTAAAAAAAAAATCGTGTCAAGCTAGTCTTAGCCAAGTCCTTTAATCCGTGTCAACTCATATAACATAGGATTATAGATTTTTATTTTTATAATTTTTTTTTTTATATCCTTGAGTCCTAACTCTTCTAGAATTCTAGTCCTCTTCCTAGTTTCTTGTGATTATTTGTGCTAACCTTAACATGTGTTCTTTGTCTTTGATTTTGGTTGATCTTATTTATAACTAACGATTGCCAATGGACTGTTTTCACCTAGTAAATAGCATAAACATTAAAATTGGACAAAATGAATCAAGTTAGTTTGTCTTTTAGTCTTCCGTGCTATTTGGTCATTGGGTCCTTTGTTTTTCACAACGTCCTCATGTCTAGCCATGCGATCATACCACGAGTCTTAATAAACTCACCTAATCACACATGTTGAGTCATTGCACACACTTTGTCTTCCAGTAATGCACTATATTGTTTATGGTCGTGTACTAGGACCATGCATGCGTCGTTTTCTGTCGTAATAGGAATGAGTGGAGTATTTCCCATCAGTTTTCAAATTGTTTCATACACTCTTCCTTTCCAATCCGAGTATTGAGTGAATGCATTAAATGAGTTCATCCTTACACAGTACTTGAGTCTAATATCACTATGCAATAGTTGGAAGAATAAGGGGAACGTCACTCCTTCCTTCTTTCCTTCCAATCAAAGCATCAACAACAAGAAACTTTTTTCCTCAACAGGTGGCAAGAAGTAAATCATAAACAGCCATGAAGAAAAAGCACAAGACAAGTTTCCATACAAGATTTCATGCTTGTTTTCTTTTGTTTCAACCCTCTCCCCTAATAAGTCTAGTATAGGCGCCCGTTATCCATGTGTACTATCTATGTGTCATTTTTCTTACCTTTTCCATCAATGAGAATTCCTTTCCTTTGCAATCGATCATCGAATTCATTCGCAAAAAAAAAAAAACGAGAAAAAAAAATCAATTACCGAACTAAGCACAAGGTACACCAATGATTTGAGGCACCTTTGCAACCCTGTCATTCCCTGTTAACCGTTCAATCACATTCCATTTCTTCATCAACCATTTTGAGCCTCGTCTAACGTTTGGCCTTCATTTCTTCAACCCACATTCACTTAACCCTGGGATTGGAAGATGTGTAATTGTATAACATTCAAAAAGCAAGTAAAAAAAATCAGTAAAGCAACAATAAAACAATGTCTAAGGGCAAGTGTTCCAATGTCTTTGATACGAACACGTCTCGAATTGCGTCTCTCATCGAGTGCTTGGTACCGTGCCTGAGAAACATGAATGCTAAGTGAGTGTTGGACCGCATGATCTGAGATTGCCCACATTGATTCAAAAGAATGAAAAAAATAAGCAAAAAAGAAGAAGAAAAAATGTTAATAAACTTGCAAAATTCAAAACAAAAAAAAAATATGAAAAATAAAACTTGCAAAGTCTAATACACAATTGCATATCTTTGGGGCTTCTCTCGGGTCTTGAGCCTTTTACCCCTTTCTTCCTTAAACCTTCAGCTTAACCACCTTACAACCCTTGAAAGACCTCTTTGAGGTGTACACATACTTGTGCAAAGTTCGGTTAGAGCTACATTCAGCCTGATTCCTAGCGGATACGTAGGCAACCTCACATTGAGGTGCGGCCACATTCATATTCATATCTATGCATGATCGAGTCAAAGAATATCCAAAGCTTATCTCTATATCCCTACCCATTTAGAGCTAGACTTGGGGGCTTGAACCCACATCAAATTAGCTTACCCAGCCTAAAGAGTCATCATCTTTGACACTTCACACATATATTTCCATCACCATAACCTTTGCAGCCTCACCTTAGTATCACTTTCACACACTTCTTTCACACATACATATCCATATCATCTTTCCCTTAGGAACCCTTTGTCATGAAATCTTGTATCCCTATCGCGCATGCTTCATCATCTTTCAAGACAACATTCATCAGAAGAAACGTTGTATACTTGCTTAGCTTCTTAACCTGAGCAATGTTCTTTGTTTCATGCATCGCATAATGTGCTAAGCAATATTTCTATATCAATGATTTTTAATAATACAAAGCATATAGTTCTTAGCTCCTTGACCTAAGCAACGTTCATAATCACTTCATCTATATACGTGCTTAGCTTCCAGACCTAAGTGACGTTCAAGATCGCTTCTTTACACCATATATGATGCTTAGCTCCATGACTTAAGTTCATTCATCATGTCATATGATGTAATTGTCTTTAGCCTCCTGGCCTAAGGACATGCATCATGCATACATTACTTTAAAAAAAAGCAATTCAATCCATGCGATTCATTTTGTCTTGCTCAACGAGGAAGTTCAAAACTTCTTTCCTTTTTTTCGCGTCTTTCCTTTTGGGGAAGTTTAAAAAAACTTTTTCAAAATTTTCACATCGAGGGAAGTTCGAAAATAAAAGTTCAGTTTTCACATCTTTCTTTTTCGGGAGAAAGTCGGTATCCTCCACTCATGACAAAAATTGACGGAAATTTTTTGATTTTGCATCTTTGTTTGCTTGTGTCTGCACACAAACATATACACACACACACACTCACAAGTCATACACATGTCATGTCACATCAAGTCAAACTTGGTCAAGTCAATCACAATATATACGAGTCCATTGGCAAATTTATTTTTGCAGGTCTCATCTACAACCCACGTTCGGGGACAAGCAAACCAACTACAACCCACGTCCGAGGACAAGCGAACCATCTACAGCCCACGTCCGGGGACAAGCGGACCATCTACAGCCCACGTCCGGGGATAAGCGGACCATCTACAGCCCACGTCTGGGGACAAGCGGACCATCTACAACCCACGTTCGGGGACAAGCGGACCATCTACAGCCCACGTCCGGGGAAAAGCGCACCATCTACAGCCCACGTCCGGGGACAAGCGGACCATCTACAACCCACATTCGGGGACAAGCGAACCATTTACAGCCCACGTTCGGGGACAAGCGAACCAACTACAGCCCACGTCCGGGGACAAGCGGACCATCTACAACCCACGTTCGGGGACAATCGAACCACCATCATTTCATGACGCAAGGTTCTCGATACACAGAGACTTGCAATCTCATCATCTGTCGACTTTCCTCAAGCATGGAAAGTATTATCCGATGGATTTCTTCAAGCATAGAAAACCGCCAACCGGCTTTCCTCAAGCATGGAAAGCGTTATCGGTGGATTTTTCTTCAAGTATAGAAAACCGCCAAGTCGGCTTTCCTCAAGCATGGAAAGCGTTATCGGTGGATTTTTCTTCAAGTGTACAAAACCGCCAAGTAGTTGGCTTTCCTCAAGCATGGAAGGCATTATCGGTGGAATTCTTCAAGCATAGAATGACACCAAATTCATACGTCGACTTTCCTCAAGCATGGAAAGTGTCATCCGGTAGGTTTCTTCAAGCTTAGAAAGCTACCAAACTCATCTGTCGGCTTTCCTCAAGCATGGAAA